ACTAACAGCATAACTGATCAGTCAATTTTATCACTTAACCAGTTCAACCTAATTGACTAATCAGTTAGACTGCTGATTAAAATTTGTTAATTCCATATAATTTTGTGCGATGAATTGATGCAGGATGTCTAGTTTTTTGGCACACCTCTACATATAACTACCTTTAAAAAAAAAACAAACCAACACAGCCCAACAAATAAAATTAAATTAAATTAAAAAAAAATTGATCAGTTAAATTTATCACCGAATCAGTCTGACCTAATTCACTTGCCGAATGTCTAGTTTTTTAGCATACTTCTATACATAACCACCCTTACAAAAAAAAAAAGAAAAGAGAGAATAAAATAAATAATAATAATTGAAATTCGGGACAAATTGGAGGCCTCAAATTGGAGGCCTCAAGCATTGTTCTTTGTACAAATGCAGCGCGTACTTAAGAGATCTCAAAAGTACCATTCCTATTTTTTTTTTTAAAATCAAATTCTCAAATTTTGAAAAATTGGGTGGCACTTTTTCATAAGACAATCTCTAACCCCTCCTCCCTCCTTCGAAATAAAAACTCACACACTTGGTTTATCTTTCTTTTATACGTCTGCCAAAACCCGTCCCAAGCACAGGATGTGAAAAAATAAATAAAATATATTTATAAAAAAATAATATAAGTAGTTAAATTTTTATATGTAAATTATGAAAATAATAAAATATTAAAATTTATAATTTAAGTTTCACAATTTTATCACAATTTATGTATTAATTTTTAATTTATCACAATTTCAATTATGTAACTTTCAATTCCCTTACTAGATGTAAATTTGGGCGAGTTCAATCCAATCAACTCGAGTCAAGCTTATAAAATTTTAAAGATTGGGCAACATAATTTTTAATTCGGTAAGAACCTATGTAAAATTCAAAATTTTGAATAAATTTAAATGGGTTTTGGTAAAAATACCAAATAACTACATAAAAATATGAATTATAATTGTGATATTTGTAATTTGATTTTTGACACAACAGTTTATTCTCATTGAATAATTATCTTGTCTTTCAAAATTTATGCTGAGAGTATATCCAACTAGAAAAATGCTTTAGACCTCTCAATTATGAGCTCTAAAAGAGTTCTAATCTGTGGGCCCCAATGTGTAATTTGATGTTTTGGCCTTTGTTTTGTGTTTTTTTTTTTTT